TGAATATAAGATACTGATATGCAATGAATGAACCCCAAAATTCCCCTAAAACCCCTTCTAATATTAATATTATGCATTTAACAAATTCGTGTATATCATAATATTAATATTACAATATACACGACTTTTTTAAATGCATTAGTTTGACGGGGCGTCAATTTTGAGATTCAAATTTTGGCCTTGACATTTACCAAAAAAATTGGATTATTTTTGTTCTACTTATTGACTTACATACAAAATTTTAATGTCATCGTCTGATTTTCAGTCACAATAGTAAGACAATAGCAATGAACTATACGTAGTACACGGGACGGCGAATTGGTTAAATCACTTAAAATTAAGTTAAAGTTTGGTTAAATACATCACAGTTCACAGCATAATAGGTGTAAAATCAGCCATCAGCTATGGTACGTGAGGGTAAAATTGTCATCCGGTTAATATGGTCACTTTCTTATAACTCAAAAACTACAGCTTTGTTTGTATAGATACCTCTGTGATACGATAGCTCTTCATCAGTCAAACAAATAATAAAGGGTCAAAACGGCGCTGCTTTATCGAATCCATTTTGATAGTTAACAGTCTACTAAATTTTGTAGTCAATTTTAGTATTGTGTAGTGTAGTTAATTTTTTTAAGTTAATTTTTCGAAGTGTTCCTAATTATTATATATATTCCTCGTTCTTCATCCTAGTTTGGATTTTATAGGGCGACAAATATTACCCTAGTATTCATGAACATTAATGGACTGTCCATTTATTTAACATAAAAGTGGTAACCCTTTTGTTTGAACGATGACAGTGTCCTCTGAACGCTCGATCATTTGTCACGTTGCGTTGTCCGATGATGAAATCTCGCATATACAGTTTTACTTTAACGGTTTAGTGGCCCGTAATATACACCCGATTTCAATTTACACATGCATGTCATACATATATTATGATATGTCCTTCTTTAAACAAATAAATAAATGAAAACAAATTCGTTAACCTATAGTCTCCTTTACGTATACTCACAAGATATTCTTGTATCTATATTTTTATATGCATTCTATAGAATCCTACATTTTTATCGATTTTCTTGCATTAGTTTTTTTTTAATCAGTGGTAAATTAAACAAAAAATTTCATATTATTTATACTCTATATTGACTTAAAAAAAATCTGTTTCTGCTGTTACCCAGAACCACAACAGTTCAGAGCCTAAGCGTTCGTTTTATAATACACGAGCAAATCCAATTCGATCCCCATCGCACCATTATCAATGAAATTGTCGATTGTACTACGAAGTGCTATTTACAATGTCAGAAATATTATTTAATATATTGTATATTATAAATATTTCGAAGATTTGAAGTTCACTAATACGCATGGTGCCGCGGCTCTTTCCTATTCCAAAAAACTAACAAAAAAAAATTAGCCGACACCGTGGATGGACCACGCTCTCATAGAATACCGGCTTAAATACCAGCTTAATGTAAGTGTAGAGAACCGGAGACCCATCTACTGAAAACGAAGCATTCCATCTTAGTCCTCAGGGGTGACAACACGTCAGCATTTTGATTCTTAACCGGGAATAGACGTGGATTGCTATGGGCCACAGCATCCACTTATCATAAAGTAGAACGTGTGCTAGTGTGGTAAACTAAGTGCTCGTTTGTCACCCTTATTCTATTAAAAAAAACACACGCACACGGCTACATACAACCGACAACTCACTCATTACTTTCCACTTGCAAAAATGTATCTATAAAAACAAGTTTTAGAAAGTGTCAAATCTGAAATATCCAGTCTATACAAATAAATAAAATACATATGTATGTAATCACTCTAAGAAATAAAATTGAAATGTCTGTTTGTAATGTCAAAATAACAGCTTTTTACTTAATATGAAAGTCTATACGGTACTTATAACCATAGAACACTATAATACACAATAGAATAGCTGTCAACCTTATTTTGTACGAGGATAGGCGTCGCCGGGAGCACACATACTGCTTGTGTGTGTAATATATATGTATAATAACGACGTATTATCACTACTAAAACCCGATTCGCTTTGTTGACAGACAGATTTTAATACATATTTATTTGTAAATAGCGTGCAATTTGGCATTTTCTAAATAATTTGCACGGGAAATTTGAAAACGATTGTAACGTCAAAACAAATCTCGTGTTGACAATTTATACGTGTGAATTGACGTGTTAGTGACATTTTAGTGGCTACACGGGCTCCGCCCACTCCCCCGTTCTATTATGTATGTATTATAGTATTCTATTTATAACAAAACACAATTTTTAAATTTTTTGTCGTCTGTCTGTTTGTTCCGGCTAATCTCCGAAATGGCTAGCCAGGTTTCGACGGGACCAGATAGCTGATGTTATAAGGAGTAATTTAGACTACTTTTTCCGCGCAAAAAAACGAAAACCCTAAATTACACGCGGGTTAAGTCGCGGAGAACTAGCTGTTATACATATTATGAAGGATCTAATTGGTCTGTTGGTTCAGATTTTTAATGTGTAGATATAATTTGGCATTAGGTCAAACTTTTTAGAATTGTTGTGTATGTAACCTTCGATACTATAAAAAACTAGCAATCCTATTAAAATTAATATTCACATCAAATCAGCCACGGTCAGACCGATGCGGTGTTTACACTGAACACAAACGATAAAATTCAAGTATTCCCGCAATGGGGAACCATCGGTATATTTTACCTACTGTGACAATATTTTCCTGACTTCAAAAAAAAATGGATACAAATCATCAACGCTTGATTTCTGACGTATTTACGTATGATTTGTGCTTGTGCAAGCTACCGCGCAACGTCTGTGACTCATTAAATATACATATAGAAAATATTTTGATAATAACCACATCAATAAATGTAAAATACCGTTTGGTGTTGATAAATGACACCGTGTTATCTGTACTTGACTGAAACATTAAGCAATTACAAATACCGTCTTATAGATTCGATAACAAGTGGTGAAATTATAAATTTTGTACCACCGACTTTAATACTACCGAATCAATGTATTCGAAGTCAATTAAATACACATTATTAAGGATAACTCAAAAACTACTAGTCAGATCTCGATTAATTTTATACGGGTACGGGACCACACGAGAAGCAGCAGCAGAAAAAGGAATCATGAAAATCGGTTCACCCAGAGAAGAGTTATGACTTATGAGGTAACACATAAAAAACATGCAGTCGATTTGATACCTCCTCTTTTTTGAAGTGGGTAAAAAATTCAATCCACGCCTAGAATTGAATTACAAACTATATAATTACTCTTACTCTGCTTCTGTCGAAGTTGGTGTATTATGGTTTTGATTTTAACGCATTAAAGTGGTTTGAAAGTTATTTGAATGGTCGCACACAGCGAGTCAGGCTTTGAAATGAAACTGGTACCCAACATTTTTTCTGCTGCGTCTCCTGTTACTCGTGGTGTTCCACAAGGGTCAATTTTTGGTCCTTGTTTTGTTTATATTTGTTGTTTATTCTTTACAGTGCCGATATTACAAGCTGTTTTAAATATTGCCATTATCATTTATATGCAGATGACCTTTAAGTCTACGTATCATTTAGTCCGGGTGATACAAATGAGGCAGTTAACAAATTAAATCAGGAGTTAAGTATGATCGCTGAATGGGCGAGTAATAATGAACACATCTTAAATACAAATAAAACCAAGTTCATGATTTTGGAGTAAAAGAAATTAGTAGAACGAACGAATGCTCATAAGCCCAAAATTATTGTTGGTGACGGCCATATTGAACAAGTATCTGAAGTTCGTAACTTGGATATAATTATGGACTAAGGTTTGAAAATCATGTTATGCATACAGTGATAAAATTTTATAATTTTTCTGCCAATTACTTCAATTTTTTAAACGGGCTATTCGAATAATGTCATAATTGTATTTTGTTTTTTTTTTTTTGGCAACTCAAATGATAATACATGACTTCTATAAAATGTTTTCTTTTCAAATAATTATAAACAAAACAAAAAAGATATATAAATAAACCGACTACGAAAGTATTCTTTTGCAAAAAAAAAAACAATTTTTTTTCTTTTGCAAATGAATTTTTTTATCAATCTAATCAAACCACCTTCCTCCTTCTTCATTGAGTCCAATAGAAAGTGACGGCGTTGAGAACATAATATCACCCAATTTCTTCCCATAAACGAAAATGGAAACGTTATGCTGCTATCTCACGCTAGTATTCTGTGAGAATATGGCCCTTTTCCTGAAATTCCGAATTGACCCATCCGTTCTGCAACCAGAATACAGCTGCAGCGTGGCTCTACTACGTAAATCTTCCACGTTTAAATTCACCTAAAGAAATAAATTCGTCTCGAATAATGACGGTATTTATTAAGTAATCGGTTTATAACCAAGAAAAGTATAACCGGGAGAAACGTTGATGATGCTGGGATTACATTTACCAATTAGCCAGTGCGCCTAGAGTTTCGATTTAGACAGATCTCCACAACGTACTTTGATTATATACCTGGTATATAATCAAAGACAACGTAATAATAGCTCTTGAAGACTACATCCAGCAGTGGCATATATATATATATATATATATATATATATATATATATATATATATATATATATATATTCGATCTGTTTTATGAACTTATGAACCAAAGTGCTTAACAGCCTTTTGTCGGACATGAATAAGACACTCGCATTTAACTGTGGAGTCATGCCTGTCCTCATGTATACCTTTGGCATACTCAGGTGAATACAAACTGAACTTAATGCCCTGGATAGAAATATTCGCACTACCACGACGTAAGATGCACCATCCAATACCGTCGGTAATGAGGCTATACTTGCCACGGAAGCATGGTGGGCGTGGCTTTTTAAGCGCTTCCTGACGAGATCGGATGATCCATTCTATAAGGACGTCATTTATTGTGATAAAGGGTTATATATATACTTTAGAAATTTATTATAGATATTATTATTATTGGTTGTTGCAGAGATAGAGCCGCCCTTTTCCTACCGAGATGTGACTATCAAACGGAATACGGACGTCAACGAGTTCTTCGAGATGCTATCGGAAATCGGACGGTGAGTCACAAAACTCCAGTCACGTATTTTGTTATTGTTACCATCAGTACGAACTTACTCAATATCTTGAATGACACTCAGTCTAGGTTTTACAAAAGTGATAAGTCACTCACGATTTCAACATGAATATTTTTCTTTCGTCTCCAGGATTCCGTCCAATAGAGTAGTATTGTTATTTGATAGTATAGTAGTGTCCATGTGGTAGACTCCTTTCATTTATTTCTAGTAAAAAATATCCTACCATAACATTTTCCTTCACTATTCCGTTTTTATCCTGTTTACTTTTACCATTACCTTTCCCCATCCCCCTTTCTTTTTTAAAGCCCTTCGAATGCAATTATTTTTAATAAATCATTATTTAACCATTAGTTTGAGTACCGTCATCAAATACGGTTCAATAATAGTAAAATCTCGAATCAGATTCAGTTGTTAAAATTTCCCTAGTTGTGCTGCTGCTGTCCTAGCCGTACAGATCTTATTTATAGCTATATCAGATATAGATTTTCAAGAGAAAGAAAAGAAAAGAAAGTGTTAATATCAGGAATTGAATTAACGAAGAAACACTTGAAGATTTCAACAATCTGTCTGGTTTCTGGAATTAAGATCAGCGAATGTTATTGAAATCTATGAGATGATCTGAGTGTCGCCGAGCTGACTCAAAAACTAAATATTCATACTAACAGGTAAATAACTGTTGTACCTGCTCGTCTAAATCAAAACCGTGAAAGATTAATTCAGGGAGATTTCACGTGAATTTGGAATTTCAAGAAGTAGGATAAAAAATGTTACTTTTCTTTTCTGTGTGTCTCTGATATCAATTAATCGAACTTAGCATGAACAAGGCTAATATTATCCCATGATCAAAACTAAATCCCAGTTTATGCGACTAATCTTAAAATTATTATTTCATCATCATCATCATTATCATCATCATCATTATCATCATCATTGTAGCCCTTTGCAATTCGACTGGTGAACATAGGCCTCGACTAAGGCATGCTACAAAGCACGTTCCTAAGCCTGCATCCATCGACTTCCATCTATCAATGACATAACATAACATAGTCCACCTGTTTAGGTGGATGCGTTGGCCCATATACACCTGAATGTTTCCTCGGAAAAGAAACAAAACACAGAATGCGTTATCACCTCTGAGGGCTATATAAGATGGAATGACCCGTTACCAATGAATGAGTAAATAGAACTGGAGACCCTTTTATCTTTAGTTCTCTTTACTCCTCTTACGGACGGCAGCATTAAGGGGAAATATAATCTCAAATGGCTTAGCAAGATCCTTCGTTATGCCGAAAATATTGCAGCATTAATTTTGAAATAAATATATGGTAAAGTTGAGATTTAATGTTAAGGATTATGTTAGACCAAAACACGATTTCGTAAAATTTTCTCGATAGAAAAGAAATCCAAAGTTACCTCCAAAATAAACAATAAACCGCTGTTATTCATAAAATACTTTAAATAAGATCATGAAACTTTTGCATACTAACTGAACTAACTATAAAGCAGTGCTTATGTTATTAACTTTTTTTTAAATACCATTATTTTCACTGTAAAAAGAAATTACCATAAACTATCTCTTTAAACGTGATTCCTGCCGCACGGTCACTTCGCTTCGGCCTTTGAACGGGGAGGTTGTGTCGCTTACGATCAGAATATACATTACGCAACAGGACGACGTAAAATTAAAACGGGAAATAATCGTAATAAAAATAAGAAGCGGCTGGCTTGGCGTTAAGAAACAGGCATAAATATGATAAACCTAATGAAATAAGTGTCTAACGACCTTTCTACTTACAGTATTAGTGATTACAAACATGTCGGTACATAGCATACGACGCGCGGGCAAGTGGGGACGAAATTAGAATTTGAGCTGACTTACTCTATCCCCTTAAGGGGCATCTGTGAAAGGTATGAGGCGGCTCATGGTCTCAAATATAATTCTAATAAGAGTGAACTACTCGTGTTTAAGGCTGGAAACAGAAAACCTAAATCTGTTCCTTATGATAGACTTGGAGGAGTTACACTGAGTAGAGTCATCATATTCAGATATCTGGACACTGGATCGCCGAGGATCTCTCTGACAATTTAGATGTTGTACGGGAACGTAGAGCGTTGGCAGTGAGGTAATATGCCTGCCCGCAGGTTTGCTAGGTGTACGAATGAAGTTAAGAAAATTAAATTATTCAAAGCTTACTGTCAGACATACTACACCTGCAGCCTGGGGACGAAGTGTACTCGCCGAATTCTCAATGCGCTACATGTTCAGTACAACTATAGATTCAGGATGTTGTTGGGGCTGCCACGCTTTTGCAGCGCATCGCGTATGTTTGCTGAGTCTTTGCAGTAATATTGCGTAGAAGATAAGCCTCCTTGATGCGTCGCGTGCGAGACAGCACCAACGGCCTCCTAGCTTCCATATATGGAAGGCAAGATTGCGCTGTGACGAGATACTGGAACACAGTGCATATGGGTTTCAGACCCAATATGTTTAATAATAAATAATATTTTTGTGTAGTAATTAATTTATGTATTCTGTGAATTTACTAACCCCTAGTTTTAAGTGTACTAACAAAATCGGTATATTTACCTGAATTATGAAATAAATAATAATTAAGACCTGACTTTTTATATACTATATATAAAATAACAAATCTAAAATTTATAATGTCTAAGCGTTGGAAGTTCAGCTAGTAATGTGACAATACAAACAATATAACGGGTTTTACCTCCTGTTTTTCTAAAGATTTTAATTATTTCCAGTGGCAAATTCGGGACAGTTTACCTCTGCCGGGAGAAGAGCACAGGTCTCGAGCTAGCGGCGAAGCTGGTGTCAGTCAACAGACGTGACGAAAGGCGCAATGTGGAGCGAGAAGTGGACGTGATGCGACGGCTAAGGCATCCGCGGCTCATTCAGCTGTACGACGCCTATGAATGGGGGAAATACATGTGCGTCGTTCTCGAGCTGTGAGTATTTGAGTCTACTTCGATGTCTGGCATATATTTAAGTTATTAAACCTCCATTTATCGAATGCCAGAAGATTATACGCACTGTACTTCATCATCACATTAGCGTAGGAAATAGCTTTTTCAACTTATAGTTATTTCATTAAAAATTGCCCTACAACAGGATTTCTATATTATGAAATATTTGTAAACCACACAAATAGCTGTTTCGCGTAGAATTCGAACTTGCATCTCACAATATCGCAACTAAAAGCCCCGCTATTGTACGGGATTAGTCTTTCGATACTCGAAGTTATAAAAAAAAATTGGCAACTCCCAACAGTTCTAAAAACGTCGAATCATAAAAAAAGTAATGAGATGTCCCGTGCAGTTTGTAACTTACAATATTTTAATTTTAATACATCTACTTATATCATTTTAATACGACTGGATATTTTATATTTACATCACATTTAACATTGCTGTCAACTACATTTCCGACTTTATTATTATACTGCTTTAAGCTTAATAAATAAAATAAATCGTTGCTTTTCTACTTAATCTCTCTCTCTCTCTCTCTCTCTCCTTCCCTCTTCCCAAAAAAGCGACGATCTGTGAAAATTACTTCAAGTAACAACTGATGACACTGATTGAGTGATTCCACAGAGATTGAACATATACTCTCCAGAGAACCGGAGACCCTTTATACCGGAAACGAGGCATTCCATCTTAGTCCTCAAGGGTCACAACGCATCCGTATTTTGATTCTTAATCGAGGATAGATGTAGATGTCTATGGGCACCAGCATCCACCTACCATAGAATGGACTGTGTGCTCGTTTGTCATCTTTATTTTATAAATTAAAAAATAACTTTCAATAATGAAAAAGGTATAATAAAGGCCTTGTGTTTATGGGCACCAGCATCCGCCTACCATCGAGTGGACTGTGTCCTCGTATGTCATATTTATTTTACAAAGTAAAAATCTTTAAGAAATATGCTAGGGTTTAATCTGAATGACAGGGTGAGAAATTGCGTGATAAGAGATAAATGTGGTATGCAAGATGATGTTGTGACCAGGATTAAGAAAGGAATGCTTCGGTGGTTTGGTCACGTAGAAAGAATGAATGATGAAAGAGTGACAAAGCAAATTTATATGGCAGATGTGAACGGCCGCGTCGGGAAGGGACGCCCTAGAAAAAAGTTTGTCGACCAAATTGGCGATATTTTGAAAATGGGCCACGTTAGAAGTACCCTTAACCGACGAGCATGTATGCGTAGATATATGGATGTAAAGGAGGCGAAAGAGGTATGTCAGGATCGTGCCAAATGGAAGTCCGTAATCTCTGCCTACCCCTCTGGGTGACAGGCGTGGTGTCTTATGCATATGTATGTAAAATAAAAAAGAAATAAAAATAACCTTCAATAATGAAAAAGTTACAATAAATGCTCTTTATAAAACATTGAAAAACTTTATTATTTACGTGCAAACTTACTCATATTTAGATTTTCGAGGTTATTGTGTTAACCACCCAGAAGTCTATCACACACTTAAATCAGATGGCATAACCTCTTTACACTAATAAAGACATAAGATACAATCGAGGCGAGGGGCCTCCAGACGGCAGTATTTATTTTCGTAGTGATTCTCGCGTGGGAGAATACCTAGTTCCTGAATCACCTGCGCCAGCGCATCGTACACTCGAAACCAAATGCATTCTATATTCGTCCGTTCATTCAAACAGTCCAACGGTGATCGTGCCGCAATGACTCATTGATTTGACGCGCAGGAATTGCCTTAAGGTGGGCTTTGGAACGATAACTATGTTTTATTTCTCTTAGATCGAAGAAGCTGGAATAGTGATTAATGGATTTTGAATGGATGATGACTGACTCATAGCAATCTTAATTTAGCGTTTAGAATTTATTTAACTACCAAAATATTGGAGTTAAAAATTAATTTTATAGGATCTGCACGCAATAGAATGAGGTGTATTACCTAATTTGCAGTCCTTCCCCCTCAGCCCTGATGCACTATCACTATCACCACTAAATTCAACGCGAACCTAAGATTGCCGACCCTATCGTATCCTACCATATTAGTGGCAATAGACAGACTACGGACTTTCATTTGGCATGACCCTGCTCACCTCTCTGGCCTCTTTTAAGTTTACGTACCTACGCATACCTACATACTCGGCTAATAAGGGTACTCTTAATTTGGTCCATCTTCAACATCTCGCCATATACAGGGTTATTTTTCAAAGAGTAGCTAAATTTTAAACTTAGGTTCAAATATATAAATAATGATATATACCGCCTAACGTTTTTGAAAATACTAGTAAATAAGGTTTCTACTTTTATTTGAAATCATCCCAAATTTAATGTGATTTATGGGCACAACATTTTTGCCTATTGATTGACCCTTACGAATGTGTGCGTGCGCAGTAATATCAGTTAACTAGAAGAATTACCACGCATTTTTAATTTAAAAAATAAAAATGACAGAATGTTGCATCTGCAAATTTGGACAGTCATTGCAAAATAGCCCTATATATATAAATACATAGCGTCGATAATGCGATATACGTTTTTATACGTGGTAGAGCAACACTGCACTCTAATAAGACTATGGTACTAATAGGTCACCTCGACAGAGAAAGAAATACTCTACCACAGACTTCTTCATTAGCCCGCAAAGTTCACTACTGAGCATGAACCTTTCCTATTTTAGGGTAGATTTGATTAATAGTTGCCTGACTGGCCGGTTTGACTAAAATTGAAAAAAATAAGAATGTTCTGGAATTTCCCTTTTTTATATAATAAGGGTGACAAACGAGCACACAGTCCACCTGATGGTGGTAAATGGTGTGGCCCACAGACTATCCTTGATTGAGAATTCAAATGCAATTGTGTTGTCACCTCAGAGGACTAAGATGGAATGCCTCTTTCCAGTAAAAAGGGTCTCCGGTTTTATACACTCACCATACGAAACACAGCAGTATTAAGCTGCTATTTTACGTTGGTATTTTGTAAGAGCGTGGTTCTTCGCCGGTTTCGCTAACGCATTCATGCTACAGCCATAATGTATCTGAAAGCAAGACTACCACCTGTTACGAAATAGGGTGATGGCCTCACTAAACGTAGCTATCACACGGTGATAATGCAATATTGTTGCGGTGTTTCTTATGATAAATGACGAGAACCGGATAAATTGGTAATGAGGACGTCTTCATTTTGTTTTGTTCCTTAATCGAGAATAGATGTAGGTGAGAGATACTTACCCACTTACAAATGGACTGTATGCTCTTTTGTCACCCATTTACACTTTAAAATTTATTTTATTATAAAATTACATACTGTACATACAACCTCCGTACTGTACATAAACCTTGCCCAAGGGCTACCACAAACCCATCGATTTCCTGAATATCTTACTATTGTTGCGCGGCTAAGTTGACATCTCATCTCATGGCACTAGCGCCATCTAGTGTCGGGTAACAGAGCGAGGAGAGAGCTTTCCAGAAAATGACATGACTAATTTTTTAACCGACAGCGCCATCTAGTATCAAATTGAAGAACTAAACTTTCTAGAAGCTCTACACTCGATCTTTCTGCGCTTGGATGTTTTCGTGGAAGAGCCCTATATAAAGGCGCTGCAATACGCGATCGGGGAAGTGTTGATTTGGCGAGACAAGCGAAGCTTCGGAGCGGAATTAAGTGAATCAGTGTGATTAATTATTAGTGTTTTTAACTTTAATTAGTGTAAAGGGAATTAAAGTGTTAATTTAGGTAATTCTATCGGCAATTTTTATTGTCACGAACCTCAAGCTCGTAACACTATGTCAGTTGTCACTTCATATAGTATGAGGCTATATATTTCTCTTCCGTTATTATTTTTTTAATTAAATTATATACTTTACTAAATTTCTGTTATAATTTTAAGTTTTTAAAGTAAAAAATGGCAACCCTATTGGAATCTTTCAGATTTACGAGTGTGTTTCAAAATGACGAGAAAAAAAAGGGTTTATTTGACTTTATCTTGGTTAAGGTCGGTAATACACCCGTTTACAACTTGTGAACGTAAAACTTTCAGCATCTTATTGGAGGTGTAAACATGTTTCCAATGTTTATATTTGTGACGTAGAAACATAAAATGTTAGCAAATATTTCTAACAAATCTATTTGATGAAGTTCAGGATGCAACCCTTTTGTAGTCCATTAAAATTTTTATAATTGCTTTAGACATCCTTTTGACAACGCTTTTCGGAATTGTCATTTGTTGTAGGCTTTATAGATCTACGTACGTTTTTTTTTAATCTTTATCCCACAACGTAAGATTTCTCATGTATCGTGGACGCATTTTACACCCATAGATTTAAAAAAGGTTACTGGAAAAACACACACACCAAATACAGTTATTTGACGCTACAAATATCGTAGGACCCGGACCAACTCCAACGGTATCCTAGTGATGTTTTCTAATAGAGTTGATTGTTGGTACCTCAACCATTGTTGTACAGACATTCAATTTACAAGGCCAGTAAATTTGGTGGCGTTGAAAGAAAATCCGTCAGAAAGATAACATGGTTTCCGATAGATAATGGTGTAAAAAGCTCGTATACCTCAGACGTATTAAAACTAGCGACGGGTGCAACGTTAAAAATGCGGAACACAGCACAAAAGCACGCGGTCAACTTTTATAGGTGCTAGAGCCATGCTGCAGCTATATTGTGCAGCACGAATGGGTCGGCTTGACCGGGGAAGGGCCACGCTCTCACAGAATCATCGTCATCAACATAATCATTAAAGCTCTTCACATATCCACTGCTGAACATAAACATTCCCCAAAGAATGCCACAACGCACCTGGACTGGTCCTGAGCAACCTGAATGCCAACGTAAAATAGCAGTTCATTTCTGCTGTGTTTCGATGATTGATTCGGCTCTTCTTACTGCAAACGAGGCATTCTTAGTTCTCATTGGTGACAACGCATCTGAAATTTGATTCTTAATCTAGGAT